TGGATGGATGGATGGATGGATGGATGGATGGATGGATGGATGGATGATCAAATAGATACATACATAGGTAGGTAATTCTAATGAAAAGCTTTTCCTAAACTCCTCATTTTTTAGGCCTCAGGTTTTTTCAATGTCTGTCAGATGTCATCATCTGACTTCCAAGAGAGTCTGACCGTTGTCTTCATGATCCTTGCATGATTCTATGGAAGAAAATAGAACATAGCAATGTTCACCCATATTCTTTCCTTTACTGGAGGAAATTTAATGGTACCAGGATAGACAGAGGGCCTCAGGAATATGTGTGTAACCTTTTTCTTCATTGGAAAAGTGTCCATTTAGTCCGTATTGGATACCAAGAACAGCAGTACTGTCAAAAATTGTATAAGCAACTCTACCTTGGCATGCTTCATGAAAGAAATCATTCAAAAAACATTGTGAGGGCAAGGATGTAGCTCAGTCTGTAGACTATGGGTTACATTCCTAGTATCTCATAAACAGGGCATGGTAGCACACACATGTAATCTCAGCCCTGGGGAGGTAGAGTCAGAAGGATTAGAAATTCAAGGTCATTCTTGTCTATACAGTGAGTTTAAGGCCAGCCTAGGCCACAGAAAACTGTCAAACATTTTTTTTTCATCACTGAAAGACAGAACTTCAACAGGAAGGGCTGTGCTCAGGAGAAAGAACACATGTGTGGGGGCAAAAGTCCTGCCAGGAGGCAGAGATACGCTAGGAAATGAGGATGAACTCTGAGATCCACAGAGGGTTCCTGAAGAGACAAGGGCTGAGAACCACGTTCTTTATTTTGGGATGAGATTTTGAAACTATTACTATAAAAATACTTTTTGTTCAGTAAAGAGAGAGGCTGGGGTATGGTAGCATGTATCTATAATTTCATCACTTAGGAGTTAGGGAAGAAGATCCTGAGTTCAAGGCCAGTCTGGTAAAGGGGGAGATGGTAACCATACGATTTACCCAGAATTCTTGTGCCCAGAAGGTATCACTGTGTTATGACTCTCTGATTGCCATAAGACACAGTAAGAACTAGGTGACTTACAGCAGAGCCTGTTTTATTGTAGAAATATTTAATCTCAGTGCAGGGTTTCTACCCCACTTTTGATCATTCAGATCCCAGGTAAAAGACACATAACTTTTACTACTATAATAAGCCTTAATCATAACTAGAGCTGGGTAGATATCTACCCTCTAAGCTATTAGAATTTATTTCCTCATTTATAATCCCTAATTGTAAATTGCCATGTTCTATCTGGACTACCCTTAACTTCAACTGGCCAGCCCTCTTGGCTATGCTTCTTTGACTCACCTAACCCTTCTCTCTTTTCCCCTTCTCTCTCTCTCTCCCCCTTGTGGTTCTCCTCAGACACCAACCAAAGCTGGGACCTCCAGACCCTGCCCATCTTGATTCTACCCAGCAGTAGGCTGTAGGCATCTTTCTTTACCAATCAGGAATAATTTGGGGGGCAAGATCACATAGCAGTGATCACATTCTCTCATCCTTGTGGACAACCAGGCCTTGGGGGGGGGCAGTATTTAGCATTACAATACGTAGCCAAAGCCCAAACCTCAACACTGTTTCTCACAGTTCTGGAAGCTAATAAAGAACCTCCAAGATGGCTTTCATTCTGGGGTCTTCTTTCTTGGTTTGTACAGGCAGCTGCCATTTCACTAGGTGTTCACTGACCTCTTTGCGTATACATACATTCTCCTTTTTACATTTATTTACTGATTTCTAATGTGCATCTGTCCCTGTGGATGTCAAAGGACCACTTGTGAAGGTTGACTCTCTTCTCCCAGAGTATGGGCCCTAAGGCTTGAACTCAGATTGTCAAGCATCTTGACACACTAAGTCTTCTCATCTACCCTTGGTATCTCTTTTTATAAGGGCACTAAATTCACAACTATGATTCTTGAGGTAGTTCTGTTTTGGTGATTTCTTTCCCTTTTTTTATTTTTGAGATGAGGCTTTGTGTTGTCCAGGCCAGTCCCAAAGTCCTGAGCTCAAACGATTCCCTTGAGTATAGGAATTCCTGCCATCATAGGCATGCACTAACATGCCTGGCTCTGAAGTACTTGTTAGCTCAGACACTAGCCTAAGAGCTCTGCCCTCATGATCACACAGCTCTGTTTCACCTCGAGCCCACCATAAATGACTCCGTTTTGGCTTTGGTAGCTTCCATTTCATCAAAAAGTAAACCAAGTAAAATTGGAAGGCAATGGCCCCAAGGCATAGTAAGGGCTAGGCATGACAGCCTGTAACACAAGGCCAAGGGTTAACTGAGCAAAAGGATGACTCAGGGGAGGGGACAAGGGTGAATGTCACAGAGTACATAATGAGAAATGAAAATAGTAAACATAGATCATCCACCTGTGAATCATATTAATAAAAAGAGCAAATTAAGATAGCAGCTAGAAGAGACAATAGACAAGAAAAAAGGATTTCAAAGATACTTAAAGACAGAGCAAAGACCTAGTGGAGAAAAAGAAATGCAAAATGCTACAGGAAGGAGAGACAAAATCAGGAACTACTGGCATTAGATCATATATTTGAAATCACGTTTCCCAGAATTCCGTGGAATGAAGGAAAGCATGTCTACTCAGAAGAAAGCTGCTCTCCTGCATATTCTGTCTGGAGTGCTGCCTTTTCTTTTTTCTTTCTTTTTTTTTTTAAAGATTATTGTATTTTATGTGTGTACCCAAATGCATATTTGTTCATCACTTGCATTTCTAGTACCTATACTGGCCAGAAGAGAGTCAGATCTCTGGAGCTGGAGTTATGAAAGGTTGTGAGTCTCTATGTGGGTACTGGGAATTGAACCCAGATGCCCTACACCACTGAGCCATCTCTCCAGCCCCAAGCTCTGAAGGTTGCTGCACTAGAAGAGATCAGGTGGTGGTGGGCTAGCTTAGACTAGTTTTGATGGATTAAGAATTCAGACAAAGTGACAGATGGCTCTCAATCACTTGTGAGCTCTCTCTTCTGAGTGAGCTTTTCTTCATGGGTCATGGCTTACATAGATGTAGCCCCTTGCTCCTCACATGGGTTTAAATGTGTAAAGCTGTGATGTTCGTTCTTGACTACTTTTAACCTATACCTCTCCCCAACATGTACCCAGGTTTGAGTTGTATAAGCTCTGCTTTCTTGGCTTCAGTGAACTAGACAATTCATGGCTGATTTCCTGACCTCTGAAGCAACTGATTAGTGAACCCCAAAATGAATGTTTTCCAGGACAACAATGTGATGGCACGCAATTCAAAGTTTTCAGGAACAAGTTTAGAAGGAACCTTACCTGTACTGGTAAACACTATATTTAAAACTTACCTAGTGGGGCTAGAGAGATGGCTCAGCAGTTAAGAGCACTGACTACTCTTCCAGAGGTCCTGAGTTCAATTCCCAGCAACCACATGGTGGCTCCCAACCATCTGCAATGGGTCTGATGCCCTCTTCTGACGTGTCTGAGGAGAGCAATGGTGTACTTATACACATAAAATAAATAAATAAATCATTAAAAAATCTTATCTAGTAATATAATACTCTGGTTTCTTTTCAAATCATGTAAAAATTTTTAAATCTTACAGAAAATCAATTAATAAATTTGTAGAGTAACAGTGTATATTTTTAAAATTAATATGAATAAACATAAGTGCCTATCAAAGTTTATAAAGCACTTTCTTCTTTAATGCGCCCCCCTCCTTATTCTTTTAGGGACATGTTCACAATGTTCAAGAGAGGCTAGTTGTAATGAATTGAAGTTCACTTTTCTCTGCTAGTCTGGGAGTCCAGCTTAGGAGTCAGACCTTCAGCCTATGTGCTCTGGGCAGCAGGATCAATCCCCAATACTGCTCTGAGGGTGAACTGCTATCTGCAGAACAATCATTATCACATTACATATAACAGTTCACAGTCATTTCCCATCGGGTCTGATCTGGGGCAATCATTACCTCCCGACTACATCCAATCAGGGGCAAGGTATATCCTGATGTAGTCTCTGCCCATGCACCTCCAGCCAAATGCGACTAATCACATGGACTGTAGTTGGGTCAAACAAATCTGTTAAGGAAGTAAAAACATGTATCATGTTTTCTCCACAATAGCCTAAAACATCTCAGGAAATATCTTTCCTTGGGCAAGGGCTTACAGGTCAGAGGCATTTTTGTTTCCTGGATCTCTTAAGCATAGTAATTAAAACTTAAACCATAACTTTGGCTCTCACAGTGCCAAGGACTTACAGTTCCCGGTGGATCTGTTTCCTCTAGGGGGGCCTAAGCAAGAATATTCCCCTAGCACCTCCCCTTCCTTTCTGACTGCATAACTTTTAACTCCCTTTTCCTTGGTTTTTGCTTTTAGAATGTCTTTTACTGGAAGTACAGAGCAGATTTTTAAAGGTCTTAGGCCATGGCTCCAGTCTGGCAAATGGCTGGACCATGAAAGCGCCCCAAAGTCCTGCCACACCTCCAGGATGGACTCTGGACTTTCTTCCCTCTTCTGCTCTGTTAAGTTCCCTGTTTCTTTGTTACTGAAACTAGTGGGTTTTAGCCATCACCTACGCCCTCTGATAGTTGTTTCCTATTTTCTTCTGGTTTATTCCTGGAGCTCCTGCCAAGTCACTTCTGCATGTCTTCTGTATCCTCTTTCTCTCTTTGTACCACACTGCCTGATCCCACAAGAATAGTCAGCAACTAGGAGCATCCGAAAGAGGAGAAAGGCACCTCTCCTCTCTGAAAATAGAGAAAGAACTGGAGAAGCAGAGTCAGGGAGGGTGTGGGGTAAGTGGACAGAAGATGAGAGCTCCAGTGCAGCTTGAACTGGACTGTTGTGGCTGTCCGTGAAACAGGGTGAAGGCATCTCCTGAAAGACACACAGATCTTCTTAGGCAGGTGTGGAAAGAAAATCCTCATAGTACTCCATATGGTGGGTACCTCAATGCAAGGAAAGCAAAAGCTTGTCAACAGTAAAAAGTTTCTGAACAAGCAGTGGCCAAAAATTTAGTTAAAAGTCAAACGTGTAATGAATTCCACCCAGGTGTATCTAGCATTGCTCACCCATGTTGTGTTGTGTAATTTCACCGCTGCCTTGCTTCTGACACACAAGCATGCACAGCTTCTTCTGGGTATGTTGTCACAGCCCATGGACGCTGCCTAATACCTGCACACAGATTTGAGACTGTTCTATGTTATGAATTTCTGTGTTATTACTGCATGTACAAAGCAGTAATACTACTTTTAAGATAGTTCATGGAAAACAAAGATTGTTAATATGTTCCTCATATGGAAGTATCAAATTAGTATATCTTTGGTCTGTTCTATGTTAGACAAACAAGCAGCTCATTAGAGGGCAAATTTGTTTTAATAAATGGCCAAAAATTATGTCTACGCCAAAGAAATTTAAAACTAAGACAAAATTCTTTGTGATTTATCACCAGTAAATGTTTAACTTGTTACTTTATATACCTATTTACTGGGTTTCTTAAAATTTTCTCAGAACTAAAAGAGTCATACATGGAGGAAATTTTAAGAAAACACATTCAAGCTCAAGGTAGCTCTAATACTTAGCACAATCCAGAATTCAGTTCCCAGCAGCAGTAGCAGGAGAAGGAGGAGGAGGAGGAGGAGGAAGAGGAGGAGGAGGAGGAGGAGGAGGAGGAGGAGGAACACGAGGAAGAGGGGAGGAAGAAGAGGAGAAAAGGAGAGGAGGAGGAAGAGGAGGAGAAATATAAGAAGGAGGAAGAAGAAATAGAAGAACAGTTGTACAACATGAATCAGAGGTGGCAGGCACTATGCTAAGCCCCAAGATTGAAAGATGGGTAAAGCATGATCCTGCCTGCCCCCAGAGTCCCAGAATAAGCACAGAGCAAAGGCCAAGGAGAAGGCTATCAATAAGTTAACCTCAATTTGAGTGAATTAGAGTTCTAGTAATAGGAAATGGAAATCTCATAAACTATGAAATTTATTGATAAAATATATTCTGTTCAACCCTCTGGCATTAGCCAACAAAAGTTTATTGAGTCTTGATTATGTGCTGCACAGAGTTAGCTACCAGGCACACAAAGACAGACAGTGGCAATAAATATCTTATCAGCTAGTCGGTCCTATCAAGTTTTGCTGTTTTCCTTCCTTATCAGAGATTAGACTGTGGATTGCTAATATCCATATGCTTCACTACAGAGTTCCTGTATGTCCTGGCCTGTCCTTTGCCAACAAGTCTCAATTCAGGGAGGTTGCATTTTGAATTCTTTGTTCAATTCTAATTCATCTTTTGCTTTAATCTGCTGGATTTATGTTCTATTATTTTATTATCTATCAAACATAAGTTTTCTTCACCCACTAGTTTGTGAAAAGTTTTCAAGTATAGGTAACGCTGTATAGAGCGTAGCACTGCGTGGATATAGCTTCTATGCTGTTTGAAACCATGTTTCCTGTCACAAATTGGCACAAATTTTGAATTAGAATGAGTTCTTTGCTTCAGTTTAGCCCTCACAGCATTTGCAATAATTTAAATCAAGACTGGTCCAATATGAAAATTATGATTTTAATACCTGTGAGAATCTCCAGTAATCTTCCACAATTTCAGATAACAAGTAGAGTTTAATTTTTGCCTAGAAACTTGGTCATTTTTCAATTTCTTCTTGTGATTTTAATTTTGGAAACAAGCAGAGTAGTATAGAAAAGAGAAATTTGTATGCAGTGATCTTTGTGACCAGAGCATGTGTGTTTAATGGATATCTCACTACTCTAACCATGTTTTCAATATTGGAGTGAATAATAAATAGATAGAGTGAAGTCTCAGAGGTGCAGTACAATGAAAAATAAAAAGAAACTGTTTATAAGGTTTAAAACTAAAAACTAGTCATGACAGTTCACCCCAGAAACCCAACACACAGGAGGGGAAGGCCAAGCATCCAGAAGTTTAAAGACAACCTGAGATTCATGAGACCCTGGCTTAATAATAACAATAGTAATAATAATAATAATAATAATAAATGTGTCACCCTATAAAGCATGGCAAATGGCATTGGGGATTTCACAGTGTTCTCTGCCATGTGGCTTATGGTAATTATCATTTTAATTTCTGCAATTTAAGAACTCAACCAATCCCTGTTATTGGCTTCTTTTGGCCCACGTAATAGGATTTTCTGGAGAAGGCAGGTGCACTTGGCAGCAGGGATTCGGCCCAGCACCATCACCAGCTCCTTCCCTCAGCTCATGTCCAATGTGGATGCAGCTTATGAAGTGGCTGAACGAGGCATTGCTTTCTTCTTCAAAGGTACCTACAGATCCCTCAAGGAAAGAAATACCAGGGCCTTGGTGCCATACCTGTATTACTCTGGTGATCATGGGGTAGGGTTTGGTTGAACATTAAGTGTCACTCGGCACTGTTGTAGCCATGGAAGGAATGACAGTTGGTATCAGCTGTCCCCAGGACCAGCCTTTAAGTTTAGTGGGCACCAGGCTATATGGCCAGGGCCAAGGAGCTTAAAACCAGCTCTTGGCCTCTCTTGTAGAACAGCATGGCACACTCCAGTGAGATTCTTTAATATTAACTGGTATCCTGCTACAGAGTCATGCTTAGAGCAGCTGGCAGGATACAACCTCCTGTGATTTCCGAAGACAGCTTCTCAGGAATGCAGTGTCTGGCTTCGACCCTTCACTGTGTCTGACTGTGAGGCATTACCCATCTGCCATGAGACTCCATTACTCATCTTCGAAGTGACCGGAATGGCACCACTCTTGAACATACGCCTCAGCAATAGATAGCCACGAAAGTTACCCAGAAAGCACAGCTGTTTGGTTTTTGCTATATTCATGGGCCAAAGGGTAGACTGTTATCAACTTAAGGGAAAAGCATCATCATTACCTGTCATTTGCCCCTCTTTCTCATGCACATATGAAGTGAGAGGGGGTGATAAACAAAAGATGTATTAAAAACTAAAAACATTAAGAGTAAGAAGACACCATTGTATCAATATTACTGCTTCCCCAAGGTATAAATGTAGGCTTACTTCAGGGAAGCTTGAAGTCTATTACTATTCGAATTGAGTAACTAGATATTTATATCCACGGGAACTAGCCCCATTCGCTATCCAGAATAGAGATCTTCATGAGTGGAATGTATTTGTGAGTGTACAGAACTGTTGTAGACTCTAACCTTTGTTCTCAGGTCCTCACTACTGGGTCACTCGAGGATTCCAGATGCAAGGTCCTCCTCGGACAATTTATGACTTCGGGTTCCCAAGGCATGTGCAGCGAATAGATGCTGCCGTCTACCTCAAGGAGCCTCAGAAGACCCTTTTCTTTGTGGGAGAGGAGTACTACAGGTGTGCCCTTTACCTCTTATATGCTCTACATGTATTTGATGGGAAGGAAAAACTCTTTTGCAAAAACAAAGCCAGGTGACTTGACAATAAGCCTGCTGACTACATGTCCACAGGGCAGTCTTTAAGATACAGAACTGTACAGTCAATCTGCTGATTGTCTTTAGGACCAGCAGCCTAAGATTTCAGTGAATTCATTGACTGGGCCTCAGTGGCCTGAAGGAGTGGAGCTGGTGTCTCGGGGTTCATCACTACCTCATAGGAATATCGGAGTGGGAACAAACATACATAAAATAGACCTTGGAAATCTTTGTGATTTGGGATAAAAATAGAGATGGTCACAAATGTGACCCTCTTTGGAGGAGAGTTCTGTTTAAAGGAAAAGCCTTACAGAGAAGTCATCCTGTCTAAATTAGACCAACCCCATGGCTGTCCTGCAGGAGTCCATACTGAGCAGAGCAGCATAAGGTCTGACCCACATCCAGTCACTGTACATAGGGCCACACCGCAGCTACCTGCTAAGGTTCTGCTTCTTCACTGGTACTGAAAACTGATTGAGACTCTCTGCCAAGCACCCTTAAAGACCCCTCAGCCTCTGCACCCCACTTCCATTCTTTCCTTGCTGTAGCTCATTTTCACAAATGTCAAACAAGAAGCAATATAGGTTCTAACCCAGTGGCTGTGACAAATACCTTGTGGGGCCCTGGAAATCAGAGGGGCAAGAGCACTGTCCAGAGAGCTTTCACTTCAG